TTGTATTAAAACAATTAGGAAGTGATAAAATTCTGAATGATTATTATTGATTCATATTACGACAGTTTTCTAAAAGTAAAAAAAAATCACTAACTTTTTCATCATTCACTCTTAAAATAAAAACAAATTAAGAAATTTTTCTAATCTTCTTAAGATTAGCTACTAAAAAATAATAATTGAAGTAATAAAATCTCTGATTTATTTAAATAAATTTTATCATACACAATTAAATGAAAAACTATTTTGTAAATGTTAAAAAGACAATTTGTAAATTTATTTTATTGTAAAAAATATACAAAACGGAACCCACGTTATTTAAATCCGATGCACGTATAACTATCTTTTCTTTAGAGTTACTTTAGGGACTGATTGAGTTGTTTAATTTGCAACTGCATGGTAACTATGTACGAGTAAGTAGTCAGTCGTCTCTTGTGAGTCCGTGTGATCATAATTATCATCATTATTGTCAGAAAGAAGACATTGTAAGGGACAGCTGGAAACTTTCTGTATAAAATGTAACCTTATCAATGAAAGTCTTTGTATTTTATATGGACGGTTGTTCATCTACGGAATTTTAAGTAGCAATACACAGTTTAATAAAAATAATGCATACGATATAAATATTATACTTATTATGTTTTTGTAATGGATGATGATGGAATGGCTCACCCGCACTCTCTGACGTTAGCCTGATGGGGCACCAGTGGATACTATCATCGTATCGGTGATCTAGTGGTTTAGCACTCGGCTTACTTTCCGATGGTCGCGAATTCGATTGCATGTACGGTGCAACAGGCAGTTAAAGCTTGATACAAACAGTATTGGTCTGGTTGTATACTAAGTATATTATTATTATTTAAAAAATGGAAGCATTTATATCAGTTAACTGATGACTGACATAACAGATCTATACTGAATACATGACAGACTAATAATATCAGCTCTGCTTAGTTTGGGTCTAGATGGCCCTGTGACGATTGTCCAGGTTAATTATTATTATTTATTTATTTAAAGTTATTGAAATTTTGTACCATAGATCGGCTTAATGCTAACATTATGTACCAGCCAATCTATAGGATTGTGGGATACTCGTAGGCTGTATTATTTGGTTATTTAGCACATCGTTACGAATTTATCAGGAATATTTTTCTTAAATATATCTCTTATATTATGTAGTTGTTGTATTTTATTTTATAGGTATATTGTGAGTTTCCAAGTTTGTCTTTACACGTTACATACGTCAGTGGAAAGCTGTACCGAGTTTATTAAAAACCAGTTGTGCCCACACCTTCGTATTCGTGCTGGTTTTTTTATTATCCCAAGGAAATGAGACAACATATATGACAATTTTACACGTAGTAAAAATTATTCTATTTGTTGACCGAGCTACTAAGTTTTAACAACGCATTGGCCACAAGAGGCTTCTCATGATGACGTGATTCAATCATTTACATCAAGTTGTCATGAGGTCACAATAGGTGATGGGCATCACTTCTAATATTCTTTTTTTTGTAACTTATTATGCCAAACTTACTTAGCTGACGGTGAGTTAAAAAAATGTTTTGAGTATTCACAGAATTGTTTTCTATGCTGTTTAAATAGGTATTTTTATAGTTATGTGAAATTACTTGCATTTGTGCACACTACCGTAGCTTCACCCAATCTAATAGCTCTATCTATTGCGTCAAAACGAAATATCAATAGACGATTATGACAAACCAAACAAAATACCTTCACGCTAATTCTTAAAGCACGTATTTGTGTTTGAACACTCCACACGAATTGCAATTTTATGTTTACCCGTATTTGAACCTGATTTACTCATAGTAGATATGTGCAGACTTTTAGATGCCTTATAGGTACAATCAAATGATGCCTTTTACAATTAAATATTTTTACAATTCCTCGTTACGTCACCTAGAATACATCTTACAATAGTCACCATCTTAAACAGCAGTCTATTTGTCTTATTCTCTTACCGCTCACACCTGCCATCATGAAGTCATGACTGTCGTTATTTTTCAGGCCTTATTTTATATACAGACTAACAATCTACCGAATCTGTAAATCAAATTAATAACTTATAATTCTCTTAATAATGCGATTTGGCAAACATAATTAAATATTATGTAATAATTTAATTGACAAGAACTTCTGTTATTGTCAATCTATATATAATCATTCGCTTATATTGCTCAAAGGCATACATTGCTCCGTCGTGCAATTATAATGTCATTAGTATATATCAGGACGACGCGGCGACGGCACAAGGCCACTACGCATAGAACCAGTATGTCTACAGTTAACTATGCTGGCGTTTACCACCCACGTTTAATACATTGCAATTTCCGTAACAGTTTATTAGGAAGTTTGAAAAATGAACTAATTTGTTTTATCTAATTAACCGAATACACTCTGTGATCTACAAACCTATTAATAAAAAAATTAAATAAGGATGTATAGCTATGAAATTTATCTGTAATAATATTTAAATGTAAACCATCAAAACAGTTGAATAAAGCGTTCTTAGGATTAAATCGACTTTCTACAATATTATATGAATATAATTCATTATAAAAACATGTGAAATTTAATTAAAATAACGACGTGAGGAATTTTAAATTCAATATCAATGGGTAGGTTACTATTTAAAATTTAATTATTCATCATTTTTATTAATAAAAAAGGCTAATAGACTTAGCAAAATAAAAATATTTATTAGTGCAGCAATTAAATAAAAAGTTTAGTATACCCACATACAGACAGCAGTAATTAAAATTACAAATAGGTATACTACCTACTCAGTGAACTAAACTAAGAAAAAAATAGGATAGGATAATAATATACATACATGCTTATCTACTATTCGTCACATTTAAGCTAGTTCTTTTTTTTCTTATTAATTTAGGACAGGGTAGCTTGTATAGTGTAATATATACTCTGAAACAGCCGAAACATTTCAATCGTATAATTATCTAAGTAACATTTAACGAATATTAATGACCCATAAAATAATAGTATATTTCATAAACGTCACTCAACTCGAACCTACTAGGCAAGCAACAATTTAAAACGAAATAGCTGTATATAATTTGTGGTCTTTCATTACTTCATAATTCTTAGTAAACGTACGTGAAACAACATAAGTGGTTGATAGATTACCCTCTCGGGCCGGTACGATCGTTTAGTGGTATAATCTTTGTTTAATTTAATTTTAATAGGCGGCACGTAGGTTCAAGGATAGTTCGTGCGGATTTTCGTTCTTTTCGATTTGAGTAACCAAAAATTCATATATAAAATATATATTTAGGATTTATAATTACACCGTTCCTTGTGATTATCTGCGAGTGTGCTATTAATAGTGCTTTAGAAACATCAAAATACTAAAAGCACTAGACAATAGACCTGTTATATAAATTGAATTATTGGTTTTTTATCAATGTCTGTCTGTCTATTTCTAATATCTACATCTAAAAATGCAATACAATAAAAATATATATATAATACGGCTAAGTATAAAATAAAAGCCAATAGCATAAGCCAAGCCGCTCAGTCCCAGTGTGGTACACCTAGTAGTAGGCTAATATCCCCCTATCAGCACTGCATGTCATGGTATGGTATTATTATACAGAAACTTAAATGTCAGTCTAATTATGCACTTATTTATCTTTAAGCAAAAATAGCCAAGTTGTCTGTAAACAATAAATCAAATGAAATACAAAGGTTATCAGATTGACACGCGAATAAATCTGTGCCCGATTGTAGATAGGTCAAAAATTCTAAGCAAATTATAATTGTACCTTTGAAATGTGGCAATTAGAACGATAGTGTTTTTGCCAAGTTTAATTAGCGAGTCAATTGTAGTTATATTTTCTAAAAATGTATTAGTAACAAAACTAATAGCACAGTAAATTAGATTAAAAATCATCTAATAGAAAAATATACCTTTATTTGTTATCATTATCATCACCATCATTACATAGTATAAAACAAAGTCGCTGTCGCTGTCTGTCCCTATGTATGCTTAAATCTTCAAAACTAGGTAACAGATTTTAAAGCGGCTTTTTTTAATGGATAGAGTGATTCAAGAGGAAGGTTTATATATATTGTACATGTATACCCGTGCGAAGCCGGGCCGAGTGGTAGTATTATATATTAGATTGTTATCCCAGGCAGGGATTAGTCAGAGACAATGCCCACATTTCGCTGGGTAATTAAGTGGACCAATTTTGCTGAAGTCTCTTGGATTCATTTAGCTTGTTATTAGTATTGCCATATCCTAAAAGTCAGTGAGAAATATTATATTATTCGCGTTATGTTTCATTTAATAAATATTTATAAGAAATAGGCTATTCCTAAAGTGACAGTTCCATATTCATTTTGTCGTGATTGACATAGATTTATTCGTGATAAAAGGATTTTTTTTATAACGCAATAGTCATAGATAATATATTCTCGCAGTGAAGGTTGCCTTGTAGTTTTTTTCACTTACTTGGATTTATTACTACATTTAAATGAGATACTCACATATCGCTCGAGGAAAATAAATAAAAAAACAAATCATTTATGTCGTTAAAGATTTCCTTAAATTGTGTTAATTAAATACAATTGTATGATCGTTAAAAATACCTTTTTGGTATAAAATTATTATTTTATACTTGTACGTCTAGTCGCTTACCATTCGCAGTAGATAGGTAGTATCATCCCACTATAAGATAAGACTTTCTTTAGGCAGACTGTCTATTTGTTTATGATGTATATTAGGAGAAACTTAATAATAATAATAATAATATTATTCTAATTTTATTTCTCTTGCAATTTTCATATTTTACATTGTTCCCTGGTATCTAAACGAAGTATAAACCTGTATTTTAGGTTGGTACCTAAAATACAGGTTTATACTTCGTTTAGATAAGTTACTGGTTAACTTCTGTAAGAGACTTTTACAATTTATAAAAATATTAAAAAATATGTTCTAATTGATGCATTCTTTGTCTTAGGTCCAGATATACCTGGGTTCCTCCTGCAACCATTCAGAAAACCGAAAAGAATTAGAACCGCCTTCTCTCCATCACAGCTTCTCAAATTGGAGCACGCCTTCGAGAAAAATCATTACGTGGTCGGGGCGGAGAGAAAACAGCTAGCACAGGCATTAAGTCTCACAGAAACGCAGGTTAGTCAAGTTTACTTTACAACTTGTATCAAAACTAGATGAATTAATTCTAATCTGAATCTAAAAATATAAAACATAAAATAAATTACAAAAATTAAAATAATATAAGAGGCCTCTTATGTCAACATTAGTGTTCTGGATAGACAAAGTATGAGTGATATGACAGGTGTCACGTGATGTTGTTCATGTACATAGGCGCCGGTTATCACTTTACTTCAGGTAGCATGTGTCCTATTTAGAAATAGAAATAATCTTTATTCAAATAAACTTAATATAAGCACTTTTGAATAGTCAAGTTTTTTTATCCTACCGCTTATTCGGAATGCAGATTCATCACAAGAAGAATAAGCAAGAAACTTGTGTGTTGCTCTTTTAAATAAATATTGATATATTTCAATAACATAAATAAAAAATACCTATACCTTTATAATATCCAAGATTCAGACGCGTTAATGTTTTGATTAAACGCAACATTATTCGAACGATCACATGTCTTTGGATTTATTAATATGGGTATTGTTATTATACAACAGTATAATCACTTTATTAACAACTCAGTATACATACTCAGTAGTACATAGGATGAAATTATTATAAGATGTACCTAAATAAATTATAAGACAGTCATAGGTAGATACCTGCTTATGTTATGAAAAGATGATGATTCCGTAAATCATTAATTAAATTATCGAAATATTTGTGTTTTTCTACATATTTAGTTTAGGTACATTTAAAATACCTAAGTAGTCTATAAAAAAATAGTAGAAATACTATTTTGTAGGCTGTATTGAATGTCAATGCATATTATGTTAGTACTCATATACCTATTTGGACTAACACCAAAAATTCTCATAGTAAGAACTACCAATGTAAATTGTAATAATGTATGTAACATCTATAAAAAATGTAATATTGTGTATACGTATAATACGACCAAACATAAACATAGTCGATTTTTATTATAGATTAAAGATGACAGGAGCTATGGTTAATTGCATGGCGTCAAGTAACTATGCAAAAGTACGCATAACTGCGCGAATTCTATACTTAAAAACCGTTTAACGATAATAACTTTCAATTATTAAAAAAAGGCGATAAGAAACCAACTCATGCCTAGCAACTAAAACAATGAAATAACTTCAAATGTATCAGTGCAGTCACTAATTAGTTGCAGTTGGAAGCAAAAAGTTGATTACTGGATCATTAGGTGTGTATAGCGTGCGCTGCGCCGTGCGTACCGACAGCAAAAAATAGTAACACTAACACGATATTTTTAATAAGCTAAAACACTACTTACTGATTACAAGGTACTTAATAAGTATATGTATGTGTTATTGTTTGCTTATATTTATCAATGAACTGCGAAAAATACAACATATTTTCAATTCTGATCAGATTTTAATTATTTTTATTACAATTGATAAGGTTTGCTTCTATGGATTGCTAACTATAAACTTGGCTAGGTTATATGCAAATGTAATATATCCATAATATATTTTTCAATATATTTTAAAATATTTTAAGCATACATTATTATTTATAAATATTTACAAACACATAAATATTTACTCTATTTACAATGGAATCTCAAGTAATTCACTTTGTAGTTTGTTTATGTAATTACTTAATAGCTACTTTAACTAGTTAATAGCTTTTAACTAACACCTTTTGAAAGAGAAAATATTGAACTATATTTTTAAGAGTTTTCTGAAATTATTTAATTGTTGGTTTATTTCTTATTTTCTATCCAAATTAGCCAACTGTATTTATTACCTTATATTGTCGTATTTTACTTAATATCGAAATATTGTACTTATCTATTTATTATGTACTTATAGTACATAATTTTAGATATAGCTTATATAGCTTTTCAGATTTTGTAATTTCCTATTCTCATTTTATAACTTTATTACATTTTACCCAACACTACTACAGCTACTAAAGGTCAGAATAATAAAGTTTATGCTATTTAGACATCCTCTCTACCCTATGCTCATAGATGCGTAACGCAATTTCATTTTTAATAGTCTATGTAAGAACAGTGATAAGATCTTGACAACAATTATGCATCTACTACCTCCTACAGTATAATATTTCTATGCTGATAATGCTAAATTAAATTTAAGTCTAGTTTAAAAGGGGGAGAAAGTATATTTATGTAGGTATGTATTTTTCGTTACGTGAAAAAATGAAAATATACTATACACATATACTTTTGAACGCGGGCTGCGTTGAATATTAATATTGTTATTTGTTGATAATGATATCTACAAGTTAAAGTAGTATTTCAAATGAAATCAAGTATTTTTTTATATAATTGGAGTGGCAATCGAGCTGATAGCCAACCGGCGGTAATGGTCTGAGGTACCCATACAGACTGTATTTTACAATATTACTTATAGACGATGTCATATTAACACCTAATTCTTTTTGTAAATAGTCTTATTTTCCGACTGTACAGCTCGGGTGTGTACATGTTCGGGTGTGGCCTGGCCTAGTTTCTAAACGTTTTATTTTTCGTAATAACAACTAATGTAATGTGCATATTCAGGAAGTGTATCATTAATTCATTGTGCTAATTGGATGAATACAATCAACATTCGACATAGTAGTATCCTCAATACGAATATTATCATATCATATCATTGATAACTAATAAATATACGATATTGTATATATATTAGATATTTCTTTTAAACATACCATCCCTTCTAATGAACAACACGCAAATTTCTTGCACATTCTTCTTGTGATGACGGTTTTCCGAATGATCGGTATATTAAAAGAAGGATAACTGTGTCTATTCAAAAGTACTTAAATTAAGTTAATTCGAATAATCGATTTTCTATTCTATTCTCTCCCTAAGTTCCTCAATTGTTAATACCTATTAATTTGGAATTGGGCAAAGAGATGATAATGACATTATCGTATGTGGAAATAAGAGCCCGTCAAATGAAATGATAACGCTTATACCTTAACCTTAACTTGACGCTTAGGTATTAGTTACTTAGGTTAAGTACCTACTTGTTTGCATTGTGGTCAGTGACGATACTTTCTGACATTAAAAAGCGGGTTTGATGAACTAAAATCATACATATACCTAATAAAATTTAAAAGTAACCGAGGTCACGCAATGTGCAGAATCTCAGACACGGTTTAACCCATTTGTATGATTTTTTTACTTAAGTAGGTATTATATATACGACAATTTTTTGTAATACAAACAAAAAAATTAAAACTTATTGTTATTGCATATATTTGATGTTAAAAAGAAAAATAAGGATATAGGTACACTCTTTGATAAATAAAGAGTTTTTATTATTTTATTATTGATAGTTCTGTAATATTTACCTATGTTATTATTTACTGCTTCAAGAAAACCACATAGTGGAACTAGTGGTGTGGCTATATACGTGTATAAAGAAGGAAATACTGATTTTTATATTGATAATTACTTGATAAATGTCTGTAACGTCTTTATTATGCTAGTGAAAATCATAAAAACAGATTATAAATAATAAACTGAGTAGGATTAACTGTGTTAATAACAATAATTAATAACGAGCTATATTGAAGCAGTTGTTAGTTGAATTACAGTTTTCAGGGTTCCGTAGACGATATATAGGCGGCTAATAGATTATCCGCATTCCCTCGTACAGGGCATATTATTAGATGTAGTAATATGTTAGGTTAATGATAGGAATTTGTGTATTATTTTATATAAAAATATATTCTTAATAAATGCAATTACTCCGTTTAAATTTAACCTTTAAAAAACAGCAATAAGAGATAAGAACTAAAAAAAACAAAAAAAAAACTTAAAAATGGGTGTTACCGCTTCAGCCACAGTATTCGTTGAAACTGTATATTTGGTATCTATTAGTGTGTATATATATGTAGGTACCTAATCCATTTACATGTCTTTAGGCTTGTAATGTTAACGTATTAACAATAATTTGCTACGTTTTACAAATTATTGTATATTAGAGTTGTACTTGTATGAAAATCTCTAAATCCTCCCCTAGAGATTCAATATTCAGATGTTTCTACTATATAGGTAAAAAGACAGTTTTCAACTTTATTCTGTAGAGACAATGTTCAATGCTACGGAACCTAACACAAAGTTAACTTATCGTGCCAGCTCACAATTATCGACTGAAAAGTACTCTGAACGCTATTGTTTATAATTAGTCTATTACCATATAAAATTATAGTGTAATAGTGCATCAATTGAGTTAATTTATTACGTTTTGATGGACTATTGCAGGTTTTTGCTAATCACTCAAGCGGGTGTGTGATTTTACTCGGCAATGAGAAATTTAGTGACGCTCCGTCGACTTTGTAATGTTACCGTTACAAGAATATTGCCTTACTAACACAATGGTGGAAAATTGTTTAGAGATGTCTTTGCTAGTCTTATTTATTATTTTTTTATATATTTTTTAATGCAATTTGGTTCACAAACAAGCTGTTTTTTCACCGATAATAAATGGTAACCGTCGCTTACGAATATGATATAGCATGCACAGTATTACGAACATCACGGTATCTTGTAACGCCCGTGATACCACTCATACGTTGCCATTCCATAGGACTTATGTCATACCAATTATTCTGTAATTTTACTATTTAATCTCTAGATTCAACCAAGATAGCTTATATAGAAGCTGCTTGATGACATTATATTTAAAATATTAATTATTAGGTAGACTAATTCTTTCAATTCCGGCATTTTATTATTGAATTAAAATTGTACAATAAGAATAGTGTTACACAGTGTTACATAATTAGATATATAATATTTACTCAGGGATATAAAACTTTGTAGGTACCTACTGTGCGAGAATCGAACCCGTGACTATCAGAAGGAGATTCAGAGTATTAAACTATTAGACCACCGAAGTCGTCGTAATTAATAGTCAAGATAGTGTAAATAATTTTTAAATTACACACGAGTAGAACCCATTTATTTTTTTATTGGCGTCGTTTTGTCAATGATT